CTCCCAAAGAGCTCCCATGTTCTTGTATAGTCATTCATCTGCTCTGATTTTTTTTCTGCTTACTTTGACAAAGAGGTTGTACTAGCTGTTGGAGCCCATTGTTTGTATAACCAGAATTTAGGGGGAAGGCACCAGGCTGGCAAAGTAAACTAATTGTTACTCTCTTCTTGATCAGTGAAAGTGCCTTTCACTCTGAACCTCTATCACATCATACATATAAAGAGATAGAATTTTAACCTGATCCCCTTTTCAGATATAGGGGAGTGAAGGAGAGGTCACCTAGCCATGTCAATCCTGTATCTTCTAGCTGCTTCCCCATCAAGCTGTTGGTGAAGGCACAGCCCTTCGTATACTCTTCACAAAGTTAGAATTTACAGTTTCCATGGGAACCAGGTCCCAGATAAGAGATCTGTCCATGCCACATGCAGGTCAGCCCTATCTTATTTTGCACAGCCCAACCACATATATTATTAAATAGCTACTAAGTACAAGTGACTATGAAGGGAACAGGGGATACAATGACAAAAAATGAAACATTCTTTGCCATCATTCCAATTTCTCTCTTTCTGTGGAGGGCACCATTATCCTTCCAGGTTAATGACGGTAGCAGGTGTTTCATCCCTGTGGGGAACCAAGGAGCCAGAATTTCCCATAGTAGAAATGAGATCTGTGCACCGGTATAGAAATCCAGGGTTCCATTTTTCTTGTGTTACCCTCAGAAGACTTCTTCCTGTCCTACTTGGCAGGTGGAGCACAGAGGCAGTGAGCAGCTGTGATGATAGGGAGGAGCTGCAGAGATTTGGGATTTCCTGGTCACCATGCTGGGAATGGCAGTGGGGAGGGGACCAGAGAGCTGTTGCAATTAGATTGAGGCTTCTTACTCATGAGTGAGGAAAATAAAACTGAATTTGGGAATAGGGATTTCAAAAGGAAGTGGCACCCTCTTAGAGAATTAGGGGGGGTGGTTCTAAATGCACAGTAAGGGCTAGAGTTATGGATTTCCTATTTTCACCAATTTGGGGTAATATTCCAAATCATCTAGCTAAATTCCAAATCTAGCCAGCATCATCAATCTGCTCAGTATACTGAGGTGAGGGAGCCAATTAGGTATTTGCATGCAGAGTGCCTTCTGGTCAACATAGGGGATACTGAGAGCTTTTGGGAAACTAGCAACCCAACACTTAGCATGATATTTGGCACACAGTAAGTGCTTAATAAATGCTTTAATTCATTTATATTGCATTCCCTGTCAGTTAATAAATATTTATTCACCAAAAGGTGAACTAAACATTGAGGATACAATGAAAGGCAAAAGACAATCTCTGCCCATTTAATGGGTGTGACCACATGCAGACAACTAGGTACAAATAAGATATAGACAAGATAAATTAGAAATGATCAACAGAGGGAAGGCACTAGTAGAATTGAGGGTGATGAGGAGAGACTTCAAAAGCAGGAGATGGGATTTTAGCTGGGACTTGAAGAAAGCCAGGGAAGCTAGGAGGCAGAGAGAGATGAGGAGGGAAAGCATTCTAGGTAAGGAGGACAGCTAGCAAAAACTCACAGAGTTGAGAGATAAAATGTCATGAGTCAGCAGCAGAGAGGCCAGTGTCATCAGATTGCAAAGTACTTGGGTAAGAGCTGTTAAACCATTTATATCAGAGGTTCCTAAACTTATTTGGCCTACTACCTCCTTTTAAAAAAAATTACTCAGTGCTCTCCCAATCTACTTTCTTTAACCCTCTAACAATTTTTTTTTGAAATTTGTGCCATTTCAAAAAATATAAAATATATTTTTAAAAAATGACGCATCTTAAATCTAACAATTTATTGTAAATTTGCGGGATTTTTTCCTACATTGAAATTTTGATGATGCAATACTGTGTCATGTAACCGTATAGTATTGTATTGTAAACAAGTCATTACACACACACATATTCCTGCCCCTGCATGCTGGACTTCCCAACAATACATCATTCACTTGTCTGCCAACACTTGCTTGTTAAGACCTGTCAGTAGACTTGACCACAGATGGATTATAACTTTCATTTTTATGTTTATTTGGAAAGTAATGTAACCACTACAAATTTAACTCTGTTATACAACAGATGAAACACATAAGAATGGTTTTTCAAAAATTTCTTCTCTTGGGGCAGCTAGGTGGCACAGTGGATAGAGCTCTGGCCTTGGAGTCAGGAGGACTTGAGTTCAAATGTGGCCTTAGACACATGACATTTACCAGCTGTATGACCCTGGGCAAGTCATTAACCCCAATTGCCTCACCAAAAAAAAAATCTCTTCTCATTTTTTCTTTCCCTAAGCTTCCACCACTACCTTATTTTTATTCAATGGCCCCCAATTGCACCTGAGGCTACAACTGTTCCCACCCTGGATGGTTCCAGCACCCTCCAGGGGGCAGTATTGCCCACTTTGGGAACTCTGAATTTTTTTATAATGGCACATTGTCTTTATGTAAGCTTACGGAAGGCAGCCCACAAATCTTCTGGACTGCTGACACAGAAGGGCCATTTTTGTAGTGCCCCCCAGGGGTCACATAGCATAAACACAAAATATGTTTTTATTTTCAGGAGCAGAGTGATTTGTGAAGTCACAGTTGAGGTGGAGTGATGCTTACCCTGGCATTTACTTTTAAACATTTCTGAGTTTTGAGCTGAATTGTATTTGTCCACACAGATGTCATTACTTTGCGTTGTCTCACATTGTCTCACATTGTTTTCTTCTGAGGAAACTTTCAAGCCTCCTAGGTTCTCCATAGGTATGAAATAATGGGGCAGAAATGATCCACTACACAGCCTAGTAGTCAGTCAACCAGCATTTATTCGATGCCTACTATGTGGTAGGCACTGCTCTAAGCACAGGGCATACAAAGAAAGTAAAAAAATAATCCCTGCTCTCAAGGAGCTCACAGTTTAATGGGGGAGACAGCAAGCTATATACAAGATAAATTGGGGGTAGTCTCAGGAGAAAGGCAGTAAGATTAAAGAGGCCTGGGAAAAGCTTCTTGTAGAAGGTGGGGCTTAGCTGAGATTTGAAGGAAGCTAGAGAAGCCAGGAGGTAGAGATAAGGAAGGAGAGCTGTCTAAAGTGGTGTCTGGATAGATATCTCTGGAATCTTGCCTACTCCTCTCCAAGGGATACTTTGATTCCTATATAGAGGGGAGCAGAAGGAGCCTTGAGGCTGGTCATGCTGTTTTCTCTGAGAGACAAAGTTATAAGACTGGAATTATATGTCTCCCTACACCCACTTCCCTCTTCTCCTCCATACATTATTGTACTAGGATAATATTTTTAGGTTTAAGCCTCTTTCCTAGTTGCTATTCTTTAAAGGGGGAAGGGATACGCCAAGCTTACCTCTGCAGCTTGACTCACATTACACAAAAGACTAGCACACACAGTGGACAGGAAGTAAACTCATTTATCCAAGCAGAAATCAGAGAAGATATACAGATTAGAATATATCAAAAAAAATATAGAGTAAGTAAGTTCTACTGGGAGCAAGATATCTCAGCTATCTACTGAAAGAAGCCCTAATCTCTCCCAGGAGAAATTCCCTTAAATCTCTCTCTTCTAAAAAAAAACTTTGATGACTCTGTTTCAATGTAATTGGGGAACAATCATACTGTTTAAGTGGAAGAGCTTGAAACCAGCCTGGAAGCATGAGTTGAAGCCAGATGGCCGAGATCTTGGAATGCCAGGTTGAGAAATTCCCATTACTTGGCAAGAATAAGGCCCAGGAAGAAAGACTTGCCCCAAATTACTGTGTTAGAATAAAGTAGCATGGATGTGGAATGTAGTTGTTCATGAATGATTAGAGAGCCTAGATTAGGGGTGGGGAATCTGCAGGCTTCAGGCCATACATGGCCTTCTAGGTCCTTGGGTGAGGCCTTTTGACTGAGTCCAAGTTTTACAGAACAAATCCTTTTATTAAGGGGAGTTGTTCTGTGAAGTTTGGATTCAAAGGGCCTCACTTGAAGACCTATAGGGCTATATGTGGCCTCAAGGCCAAAGGTTCCCCACCCTTGGACTAGATGATCAGGGTCCTCACTGTGGAAACAAATCCTATTCCTTGCCTAATATCTGACATTTATGTGTACAGTTTCATCCGGACTTTACAATAATCTTGCTGCTGTTCAGCTTTGTCTGACTCTTAATGCCCAGAGTTGGGATTTTCTAGGCAAAGAGTGCTTTGTCATTTCCTTCTCCAGGTCATTTGACTGATGAAGAAACTGAGGCAACTGGGGTTAAGTGACTTGCCCAGGATCCACAAAGACAGTTAAGCATCTGAGGCTAGATTTGAACTCCGGTTGTCCTGACTCCAGGGCACCAGCTGGTATTTAGAGGTATGATTATCCCCATTTTACTAAGGAGGAAACAGCCTCCAGAGAGGTTAAGCAACTTGCCCAAGGTTACACAGCCATTAGGGGTGTGTGTCCCATTCCATCCCATATCCTCCCGCCTTAAAAATCTTAACCTTCTGCCCCGCCTGGGGGGAGGTCACCTAGTCCAACTCTCTCATTTTACAGATTAGGAAACTGAGGCCCGGGGAGAAGGGACTTGCTCAAGGTCATAAGCACAAAGCAGCTTAAAAGTTAAAAGGAGTTAAAATGCCCATCCACTGGGCACGAGGCAGGTGGGGGGGAAGGGGGGGCGGCTGGAGGGGCGGTCACCAAAAAGAGTCGTCCACAAGGGGCTGGCCTCTCCTGGAATTCTGGGAACTGAAGGTCCCCTTGTCCTTCTCAAGTTTACGTGCGCTCCGTGACCCATCTCCTCGCACATGCGCACTGACGCCCTCGGAGGGTTTCCTCGCAGGCATTGAAGTTGGCTCCCGCCGGCTAGGGAGAGGGGGGCGCATGCGCAGGTTCGCCGGGTTACGAGCTTGAGATGAGAGAGCGGAAAGATTTAGCGAAGAGCGCGGGCATGTCCCGGCGGGCCCAGGGCGAGAAGAGCCTCAGTGCGCAGGCGCGGGGGCGGGGCGAGGGCGGGGCGGGCCCGAGATTGAGGAGCCGGCTGGCTGCGAGCTCCGCCTGAATCTCAGTGCGTGCTCGACTGTCTGCCGGTTTCATCAGTATCCGCTTCCCCGAGCCTCTGCCCCGCCATGGCCGCCTACAAGCTGGTGCTGATCCGGCATGGAGAGAGCGCCTGGAACCTGGAGAACCGCTTCAGCGGCTGGTACGACGCGGACCTGAGCCCTGCCGGGCACGAGGAGGCCAAGCGCGGCGGCCAAGCGCTGCGAGGTACCGGGCCGGGCCGCGGGAGGGCCCGGGAGGTGACCTGGGCGGGGGGCGCATGGAGGAGATCGATCCCCCGCTTCCATCTCCATCCCAGGCCTCCCCTGGCATCAGGGGCTGTTCGTTTTACAGACGGGGAAACGGAGGAAGCCGAAGGCTCCCCTCCCCCACTCCTCCATCTCCTACTATCCCCCTCTTCCGCTACCCTCATTCTCCATTATCCTCATCCCAGGCCTCCACTGGGGGGTGTTCATTTTACAGATGGGGAAGTGGAGGAAACTGAGGGTCCCCCTTCAATTATTATTCCCCCATTCTCCATTGTCCCCCTCCCCCAATATCCCCATCCCACCTCCATTGTGAGCGCTTTCATTTTAATGGGGGAAACCAAAGGGCCTTTCTCCCCTACTGGGTTTCTTTTTATAGGTGGGGAAATGAGTCCTCCATTTCTCATTATCTCCATCTCCCACTATATTCCCCCCCCCTCCATCCCCATCCCATTTTCATTCTAGGACTTCTGTTATGGATTGTTGCATTTTATAGACGAGAAAACTGACCCCCCCATCCCACCTCCATCGTATGGCTCCCCAGGTTATTAAGGGGCTGTTTCATTTTCAGGTGGGGAAACTGAGGAAGCTGGAACCATTTCCCTGCCACTCTCGTCTCCACCTCCTTCCTAGGGCCTCCCTTATGTGATGGGCTGTTTGATTTTACAGATGGAGACACTGAGGGAGCTGAACCTTCTCTTTCCTCTCTATCTCTGCCTCTACTCTTCGGCCTCCCATGGGTTATAAGCTGTTTGATTTTACTGATGGAGAAACTGAGGAAATGGGAGCCCTCAATCTCCATATCTCCCTCCCATGTGTTAAGGGCTGTTTCATTTTATAGCTGGGGATAAGAAAACTGAAGTCCGCATCTCCCCTCCCCATCCCCGGGTGCTCCCCCAGGTTATCCTTACAGATGGGGAAACTGAGGTGACAGACCCTGAGGTGGAGGAGGTGCTGGTTTTTCATCTGTACAGCAGAGCCCCTCATTTTGGGATCTGGTTTTAGGAGCTCCTTCCAGGTCTTCATAGGCAGAGATCCTGGGATCCGTCACCACCATGTGGTACACAAACTTTAAGAGGGCCTTGGAGGCTTTGGAAAGAGGATAGAGGTACCAGACCTCTGACCCAAGGAGGTTCTGGTTAGTCACAGGGCCATATGATGATGCTGTGGTCTAGTCCAGTCTGCTTTACTGGTAAGGAAACAGGCCCAGAGAAAGGTGATGGAAGTGCCCAAGGTCGTACAGCCATTTTATGGTAGAAGTGGGACTAGAACCTGGGTCGTGTTTAGTGCAATCACCACTCCTCAGTACAGGCCCTTTGTTGAAAAGTAGTACTAGGTCAGGGAAGGTGACCCAGGCTGTCAGAACCATCAGGTTGCAGCTTGGCTCCCATTATCTGGGGGGAGGAAGGGGTGGTGTTAGGAAGAAGCTTTGTCAAGGACCGTAAGCAAAGGCGGATGTGATGGGATTCTCCCGTGCTTACATGGGGTTTTTCTTTTTCCAGAAGATTCTGCCCTGCGTGACTCTGGAAAACTAACATATTCTTATGGCTTAGGAATCCAGAGTAATTTCAGTTAACAAGCACTTATTAAGTAGCTACCATGTGCCATGTGCTGTGCTAAGGAAACAAAGGCAAAAAAGTAGCACCTGTTCTGAAAGAGTTCATAGTCTAATAGGTTTAATTCCTGAGCAAGACTGCTGGTGTGGGCCTGTGTGTGTCCATTGATGTTGTCCTTATTTCCCAGTCTCTTCTCTCTCTTCATCTAAGAAGAGTACCATTCAAAAGGGTTATTGGCACATGAAGGAGGAGGTGTATTTGGAGCAGTCATTTGGCTCCTTGCTCTCTCTGTTAGTTCTTGTCTTCACAGCAGGCCCTTTTAAAAAGAACTAGAGCTCTGGAAAATCTGGAACATAATCCTGCTTTTAAAGTGGGGAGTGTACATAACATTAGGATGGGTCTAATGTGACCTTGCCATCATTCAGTAAATGGGAGAGGCCCAAGAGTTTGCTATGGCTGTGAGAAATCGAGGTACTGGTGAGGTTGGCACCATTTTCTTTAGCTTTAGCAGAGAGAACAGGGCTGCTGTGATTCACCATTAGCCTTGCATGTCTTACACAGAGTGGAACAGATTGCAGCTTCCCTCATTTTAATACTGAGGGTGGGGCCAGTGGGAGCTGTAGGTCCCAGCCAGAATGCAAAATCTTATTTCAGCCAAGCAGCCAAGTTACCCTAGGCAGGTAGAGGATAGGATGAATGAAAGTCTAGCTTTTACTTCTTTAAGGCTTCTCCCCAATACCTCACTTTGGCTCTATTTTTGGATGATAGCAGATTTGTGGGGGAAGGAAAATGGCTTTGTATAGGTTCTTTTCAGAGTGCCTAAGAGTACCCCTCAGTTAACCTGTTTGCTTCTTGGGAGCTCTTAGTCACTCTAGCTTCCATCTTGAGGCTTTTTGTTCCTACTGGAAATAAATGGGTAAAACAAACCAGTAGCTTTTGATTATGAAATACTGAGTCATTGTAGTAAGGATTTGAATTAGGTTACTGACCAGTGACTAGTCTACCTTTTTGTGGTAGAGACAAGGCTAAAGGTGTGGAATTGGAAAAGAACTTGCCCCAAATTACATGCACCATTTCAGTTGGAGAGGTTCAATGACTCATTTTCCGCTTTATCTCCAGTTTTCATTGGTTCTACCATCAGTTAAATCACTGGCAGGAAATTACATTTCCATAGTTATTACTAACTCAGTGTGAGGCAACATCTAGAAGAGTTCTGTATATTTCTTAAAGTCTCTTGCAACTTTACAGAGGGAAGTATTGTTTCTATTGTTCTCCTTCCTTTTGTCTACTGCAAGACTGGTTAGCAGCCACCCAATGAGGGCATTTGTTTTATTTGGGAAGGGGGAGTAAGGAAAAAGTCAAACCTTTTTGCTAGGAAAAAATGAGTTGTACTGGGGAGAGAGAAGGAGAGAGGGGGAGAGAGAGAGACTTCACAAGGTTGATGATAACTCACTTATTTGGGGCTTTCCAGTTCAAAAAGTACTTTCTTCACAATAATCCCATTATATAGGTAGAGAAAGTATCATTATTTTACAGATGGAAACGGACAAAGTGTCTGGGCCTGTAATTACATGGCTAGTAATTGTCAGAGCAGGGATTTAGACTCCTAAGTCCATTACCCTTTCCATGTAACTGACAACCATTGGGGATATTGATGGGAGGGAAGGGTTATCATGTATGATATCAATAGATTAAATATTTACTGTGTAAATAGCCCTCTACCCTTTCAGTGAGTGTCGGGAGTAGGGAAGGCTAACATTCGTGAGTAGTTCAGGAATACAGTGATCTCTGGGACAAAAGCTTGTGGGCTTTAAGGATACTCTTTCTGATCAGCTTATCACTTGGGACTCTTTCAGATGCTGGCTATGAATTTGATATCTGCTTCACCTCTGTCCAGAAGAGAGCAATTCGTACCCTTTGGACGGTACTAGATGCCATTGACCAGATGTGGCTGCCTGTAGTGAGGACTTGGCGCCTCAATGAGCGGCACTATGGAGGTCTGACAGGTCTCAACAAAGCAGAGACAGCTGCTAAGCATGGTGAGGCCCAGGTGAAGATTTGGCGACGATCCTATGACATCCCACCACCTCCAATGGAGCCTGACCACCCCTTCTACAGCAACATCAGCAAGGTATGGACTGACTCAGGTTTGCTCCGCTACAGATTAGATCATTACAGGTCAGGTGACCAGAATATGGGATTTTGCTTTTGGAAAACTAGGTGTCTCTTGGAGCTTAGATAATTTGTTAGATTTAATGATTTCTGTTTGTCAGTTTAGCTGAGCCATATTCACCAGAACAGATGACTTGAAAAATGCAGACATTCTTTTTCATATTGGTCTGGGCAAAGGAAAAATGATTCTTTGGGAAATTTCCTATTGCAGTGGTATGTTAACATTTATGCTGCAGTTCTCGCACTTAGAAGTAACTGAAACAGTCAAAGCTCTGGCCAGCTTGGATTACTCTTTAACTGGATTTGTCCTTTTTTTTTGCTTAGCTGTGACTATTTACATCCCTTTGAGAACTAGCATTATGAAGGGGCAGCTAGGTGGTGCAGTGTATGGAGCACCAGCCCTGAAATCAGGAGAAACCGAGTTCAAATCTGGCCCCAGACCAAAACGCTTGACACTTACTAGCTATGTGACCCTGGGCAAGTCACTTAACCCCAATTGCCTAAAAATAAAAAATAAAATAAGAACTAGCATTATGAGAAGTGACAATTAGTTTCTGGTTCCTATCGTGTTATTTCTGCAATTTCAAACACATCTTCTGTTCCTTTGGAACCAGGAGTCAGCCTTAATTGAGAGGGTTATATTCTAGTTTACTGAGTTTTATGGGGATTTCCTGTCAAAAGGCTGCACTCTGCAAATTATATAGATATTTCTTTTCACTTTGCTTATCATATCAGATGAAATAGTTGCCAGCAGCATTTTTAAGTAATACTCTTTAGCTCTCAAAGACTGAGTTTATATCAGTAATATAATGTCAGAAGACTTTATACCTCTCTCCCAACAGTCTGCAATTTAATGTAATACTTTCAGAAACATTTTACAGAAAACTAAATGCCTTTATGCATGTTGACACCAAAGAAGTACCTTAAAGAGGCTAGAAGAGAATTATTGGCCTCATGTAGGGCCAGGATAAGAACCTAGAAGGAATGAATTGATTAGGTTAGTTTTAGGAACCTCAAAAGAACCTCTTTTGCCTGCCAGCGAGTTTTAAATATGTGTATTTTGGATTCGGGGGTGGAGAGAAGAGATGTACACTAGAATAAAGAAGTGCAAAAATGGACTCCTTTTTGGTATTACTTCACTGCCCTTCCTATGAGTCCCTGATCTGTTCTTCTTAAATACTTAACTGACATTTAGAAGTCAGGTATCAGAATGTTACCAAATGACAATGAGTGCTTTTCTGTTAAGGAGTAGTCTTGGTATCAACCAAATTCATATGGAATTAGAGGGTTTTTTTACCTTTTTGACGAGAAATTAATGTTTATCTCCAGGACCGTCGCTATGCAGATCTGACTGAGGATCAGTTGCCATCCTGTGAGAGCCTGAAAGACACCATTGCCCGTGCTCTACCTTTCTGGAATGAGGAAATCGTCCCCCAGATCAAGGAAGGAAAGCGTGTTCTAATTGCAGCCCATGGCAATAGTCTTCGAGGGATTGTCAAACATCTTGAGAGTATGTAGATTTGCTATATTGGAACTAGAGCTCTGGTAGAGGTTGGAGGGGGTGAGGAGGAACTTGGCAAATACGAGGACCTAAGTTAAGTGAAACCTGTAAAGGAAAAGTGACCTAGGTTAGTAGCCTCAGAGATGCATCCTAGCCTTTATTAGTTTTAAAATAAAATTAAAAAAGCCAAAAGAACTTTCAGAGCAAGAAAGCACTGATCTGCTTTGGAGGACTGAATTTAAATCCCAGCTGCAACCATAGACAAGTCATTTAAGTTCTCTGGGTCTTAGGTTCTTCATTTGTAAAATGAGAGGGTTCAGTTCAACAAGTTTTTGTTCAGTCACTGTTTGTGACGAAACTCTTATCCTAATTCCTCACTCTCCTTCACCCCATGTAAATAGCCAGTTTCCACATCTTGTACTTTTTTTTAAGGCAGTTGGGGTTCAGGGTCACCAGCTAGTGTCAAGTCTGAGGTCACATTTGAACTCAGGTCCTCCTGACTTCAGGGCCGGTGTTCTATCCACTGCGCCACCTAGCTGCCCATCTTGCACTTTCTACTTTTGCAATATCTCACACATCTGTTCCTGTTTTTATACTCCCACATACAGCCACCATCTTGGTCCAGGCCCTCATCACCTCTTCTCTGGACTATTGCGATGACTTAATAGATCTCCCTATATAGTCTCTGCCCTTTCTAATCTATCCTCTACACACTTGCCAAGGTGGTTTTCCTTGAGCCTGGGTTCTGACCACGTTACTCTTTTCAAACTCCAGTGGCTTCCTGCTGCCTCTGGGATCAAATATCAGTGTCTCTGTTTTTGCCTTTTCAAGCCTCACATATCCTGGCTGCAGCTATTTTCTCCAGCCTTATTTTACATTTGGCCCTTCCTATACTCTGTAGCCAGCCACACTGGTCTTCTTCTTCATCCTTGGCACTCAGTCTGCTCTCTTTGTACTGGCCATCTTCCCTGGGGTGCTCTTCCTCCTCATGTCTGCTTCTGGCTTCTGGAGGCCTTTCCTTGCTTTCCTGCCTTCCAGGGGCTAGTGCCTTTCCTCTGAGTTTATCTTTGATTCACCTTGTCTATGTCCTGTATGTACAGTTGTTTCTTGTTTGGGGCTCTCCTTGTAATTGGAGCTCCTGGAGGGCCGGGGCTGCTTTTGTCCTTCTTTATCCCAACACTTAGTTCAGCACCTGACAGAATCCTGCATACAAAGCCTTCCTGGATGCCTGCCCTAAATGCTAGTTGTCTCCCTTCCTGTCTTGTACAGACTCTTCTATTAGTTTGTATATACCACACACACACACACACACACACACACACACACACACACACACACACACACACACACACACACACACACACACACACACACACATACACACACACACACACACACACACACACACACACACACTCTCTATCTTCTCCATAGAATGTAAGCTCTTCGAGTGTAAGATGTGATTCTTTTTTGTGTTCATATTCCCCTGGCCTAGCAGAGTGTGGTACATAGTAGGTGATAAATAAATGCTTGTCGCTTGAGTAACTGGTGTGCTAGGCCCTGAGAATAAAAAGAAAGAAACAGCCCCTGTTCTCAAAGAACTCTAGAATTCTACTGGGGGTGTGATGGAGGGGGGGAGACACAGACAAAATGTATACAAAAATATTATAAGGGATATTGAAGAGGGCGGAGGGCTAATAACTGAGGGGATCATTACTATATTCCCTCATTGAGGAGGTGGCACTTAAGTTGAGCCTTGGATGAAAACAAGGATTCTGAGTGCTGGAGTTATAAAAAAAGGCAAAAGACAGTCCCTGCCCTCAGGACGCTCACAGTCTAAGGTGGAGACAATATACAAATGAGCTATATACATGATAAATAGGAAAGAATTAAGAAAGGGAAGGCACTAGAAATAAGAAGGTTGGGAAAGGCTTCCTGTAGAAGATAGGACTTAAGATTTGAAGGGAACCAGGGAAGTCTCTAGGTAGAGATGAAGGAGAGCATTCCAGGAAGAGAAGATGCCTGGAGCCAAGAGATGGAGTTTCTTGCTAATGCAGGGCCGCTTAGGCCTTTGAGGAAATCACTGCATCAAAGTGGGCCTGTTTCCTCTGCCAAAAGAAAGTGTTGGACTAGATGGCATTGAAGGTTCCTTTCAGCCTCTAATTCTGTATGGCGGCATTTTTAGGTCTGTCTGAAGAAGCAATCATGGAGCTGAATCTGCCCACTGGCATCCCCATCGTGTATGAGTTGGACAAGAATCTGAAACCCATCAAGCCCATGCAGTTCCTCGGGGATGAAGAGACTGTGCGCAAAGCCATGGAGGCTGTGGCAGCCCAAGGCAAGGCCAAGAAGTGAAAGCAGGCACCCTCAGAATGTGCTAGCAGTAGCCAGGTCCTTCCCTTCTCACTATCTCCACCACATCTTTCCCCCGCCTGCTCCACACACTGACCATCGCCTTAGGGATCACAATACTTAGCTGCGGGTGGGGGACTGATGATTCCTTTTCTGTTTCTCCTCCCTATTTCAGACCAATTCTTTTGCTCTTCTGTTGCCCTTCCCCTCAGCCACATTAGTCAGAATGCCTCCTGGGTGGTTTGGCTTAGTAAGAACCTGGTTAGGGATTAGGGACGGAGACATAGTATGAAGTGACCAATGTGGGGAGTTGAAAGAAGCAGTTGGTCCAGTTATTCCTATGAGCCAGTCCTGCCAGTAGGGCAGTTCTCTCAGGGGCTGTTGTAGGAAGCTGCCTATAACCCAGGTGGTCATTTAACGAATCATGAAAGTTTTATTTGGATGTTTCCTCCCTAATCCAAGAAAAATGGATCTGGGAGGTTGACCTAATGTTTACTTGTTGCATTTGCTTTCACAAAAGACCCTTCTAGGCTGGTTATTAATGGCTTTTGAAATTAAACTGTCCCACTTGGTAGTCATGAGAGATCTTAAGCAAGTCAGAGAAGGGAGAATTCTTTGATTTCTGAGGGGTGGATGAGTATATCCCACTTGTTTTATAGCCCCTGCTCTGTTCTGTGGCAGTGAAATGCCCCTAGATCATGTTGAAATGTGTCTCAGTGTCCCATTGTTTTCCACCTTATGTTCAGCCACCTGGGTCCTCTTCAGTTTTAGCATAACTGGATACTAACCCTGCCCTTCCCCCTGCCCCTTTTTTGTTGTTCACTATAATAAAGGAGTGATGTGCAATACTTCTGTGTGTTATGTGTTGTCTCTTGTCTCCCAGGAAAGCCTTAGCACAAATTAACCCTTCTTTTCATCATTCCAGGCTTCATTTTATGGCAGATTATGGTGACAATCTCTGGAATTGGAAGTCTCATAGCTTCCCCTTAGCAGTTTTTACCACATATAGAGAGAAAACTGCCCAAGGTATCCTCAAATACCAGGCTGTTTCTTCTGTTACTATGCAAGGGATTCAAGGGAAAAATCTCTGCATTTTGACTCTGATGTAGTAGTCCCAATTCCTGACTCATCCTAGGTGGGGAATCATCTGAATTAATAAGCCTCTCTTAAAGCAAAGTGAATTTTGGGGTTGGGACCTCAGAGGCCCTCCATCTGAACAGAAATCCCATTTTAATCTTGATAGATGGGTAGTTATCTTGCTCTTGCTAGAAAACCCAGTGATGAGTTTTACCTTTGTTTGAGACTAAATCTGTGCGAGACCTTTACCCTTTGTTCATTGTTTTGGCTTTCTTGGCCTTTTAGGGCCAAGAAAAAATTTACCCCTTCCACAATATAGTAGTTAAAATACATTCTAGAATATAATCAGGCAATTGACTGAGATTAGTGTCCAACTTGACAAGGCCTAACATGCATGCAGTTTTTTTATTTCTAGTTATTTCACTCCTAGATTACACGGCAGTGGAAAAGCACTGGCCCAAGAGAGTCAGTGAACATTTATTAAGTGCCTACCATATGTCAGGCACTGTGCAAGCACTGGAGATAACAAAGAAAGGTAGAAGACAGTTCTGTTCTTGAGGAGACAACATGCAAACAACTTTATCTTGTACAAACAAGGAATATACAGGATAAAGTTGAAATAATCAGAAGTAGAACACTAGAATTAAAAAGAGTTGGGAAAGGTTTCTGGTAGGAGATGAGATGTAAGGTAAAGTAGGAGATGGAGAAGAGGAGGGAGAATATTCCAAGGATGGGGGAATAATCAGCAAAAACATGGAGTTGGTGGGTAAGAGTATCCTGTTGGAGGAATAAAAAAGAAGTCAATGTCACTGGACTGAAGAGTATTGGAGGGTTGTAGTCTTACAAGACTAGAAGGGTGTTAGAGGCTGGGGTGGAGGAGAGCAGGGAAAGGTTATGAAGGGCATTGGATACCCAATAGAATTTTATATTTGATATGCAGGTGACTGAAAGGGAGCCAGTTAATTTATTGTGTAGCAAGATGATGTGGTCAGACTTTGATTTAGGACGACTGCTTTGAAAGCTAAGTGAAGGATTGACTGGAGCCAGTTTACCAGTGACATAAGGTGCCTCTCCATAGGACACTGCAGTGCCACCAACCTGAGATATGATGGATGAAACAAGCCATAACCTTGAGAATTATGCAACGAAACAACTTGAAATGAAGGATTAGTATCCTGAGAGGGGATACAAATGGATTTGTCATTTTCATGGAATCTAGAAAAAGGATTATAAGGAAACTTGTGTTTCTATAGTACTGTCCATTCCCATTGTCACTGTCTTTATTCAGGAAAGCACTAGTCACTAGGACTACTGCAATAGCCTTCTAATGGTTCTCCTTGACTTCCTCCCTTGTCCAACGAATCCTTTCCATTGTAGCTATATTAATTTGTTACCCACTGCCTCATAAACATTAAATGACTCCCTATTTTCTACCAAATCTAAACTCAACTGGACATTGAAAGCTTTCCAGGACTCCATGGATCAGAAAAGTCTTTCAGTAAAAATGCTTTATTTGTCTGAAGAAAACAAACAAGCCACATTTACAGCACTATCGAGGAGTAGGAAAGGAACAGAAAATCACTTTGTTGGCTGCTTCCATCATCAGACAGTTTTCTTTTGCTGGCATCTCAAAGGGGAGAGAAAATCCATCTGTGGGATTTGTGGTGAAAGGCTCAGGAATAATCCTCCGTGTACAGTGGAAGCTTCAGGCAGTTATTTCCAAATGTGGTTTCTGGTAAGCCCAAGGTCTTTTTGTTTTGATCATATGTGGATACTAGAAAATAGACACCCCCACTATGGGGAAAGGATGTAGCTACTTATGTCTGCAGGAACTCAGGCTGTACTCGTGCTACTTTGCGGAATTCTTTAGTGTGTGTCCTGGGACACTGCATCTCACACCAGCTGATGGGTACCATCTGAACACCTGCTGGAGAAAAATTCTGAGTCAGCCAGGGCATGAAACTGCAAAAACATCTCTATGCTACTTATTCCGGTATCTCACCATTCCAGTGAACGGCTCTTGTGTCCCTACATTAATAGCAAGATTTAACACAACTTCAAAAACAGCTCCCCCAATGCCATATGATAGATAATTAAAAAAGCAGGTGATGAGAAGAGAGAGATATTTTTGTCCCAAACCTCTGCTCCAAGAGACAGAAAGAGGCAGTTTTTAGTGGGATATAGCAGCGATGATCCACCTGATTCACTGTGGGCCACCACCACTCCCAGCTCATTTTCTGCAGTTGTCAACAGGTAATTGGACTGTGCATCACCTAGGGAAATCTAGTCATATGTGTTTGGTTAAGGAAAATATGTTAAGCCAAAAAGCCGTTTTCACTCAGTGGGAAAAAAGGCTTCCCTCTCTTGCTACTTGGGCTTTCCTGACTATAGCTCTCCTCTTCCCTTTACAGAATAGCAGCATTGATGCAAGAATCTTTTTTTTTAATTTTAGTTTTAATTTTTTAAATTTTATTAATTTATTGATTTATCAACAATCACTTCCATATGCTGTTGAGTTGAAAACTTTTCTCCCCCTTCCTCCCCCCACCTCCCCAAGACGGCGCACAATCTGACATAGGCTTTACATTTACATACCCATGAAACATATTTTCACATTAGTGAGGTTGTAAGTAAAAATTAAAACCAATAGGAGGAACCATCAGAAAGATGAAACAAAACTCAGCAGAAGGTGAAAACAAGTGATAGCGATTCGACTTCCATAGTTCTTTCTTTGGATGTGGACAGCATTTTCCATCCCGAGGCCTCTGGAGATGTCTTAGATCCTCGTAATGCTGAGAAGGGTTCAGTTTAATAATATTAGTCATTGCATAACGTGGCTGTTATTGTGCACAAAGTCTTCTTGGTTCTGCTCACTTCACTCAGCATCAGACCATATAAGTCTTCCCAGGTTTTTCTGAAGTCAGCCTGTTCCATCAATTTCTTATATCACAATAATATTCCATTACATTCATATACCACAACTTGCTCAGCCATTCCCCAATTGATGGGCACCCTCTCAATTTCCAATTCTTTGCCACCACAAAAAGAGCTGCTATGAATATTTTTGTACATGTGGGTCCTTTTCCCATTTGTTTGATCTCTTTGGGATATAGCTCTAGAAGTGCTATTGCTGGATCAAAGGGTATGCACATTTTTATAGCCCTTTGGGCATAGTTCCAAATTGTTCTCCAAAATGGTTGGATCAGTTCACAACTCCACCAACAATGTATTAGTGTTCCAATTTTCCCACATCTTCTCCAACATTTATCATTTTCCTGTTTTGTCATGTTGGCCAATCTGATAGGTGTGATGTGGTACCTCAGAGCTGTTTTGATTTGCATTTCTCTAATCAATAACGATTTAGAGCATTTTTTCATGTGACCATAGATAGCTTTAATTTCTTCACATGATGCAAGGATCTTAAGACAACTCCAAAAGACTCACAATGGAAAATGCTATCCACATTCAGAGGAAGAATGATGGAGTCTGAATGCACATGGAAGCATACCATTTGCTTTCCTTTTCTTTTGTTGTTTTGCATTATTGCTTCAATCTCATGGTTCCTCCCATCAGTTCTAATTCTTCTTTACATCATGCCTAATGGGAAAACATGCTTAAAAAAAACCCAACACCAAAAAAACAAACCAACATGGACAGGGATAAAGGATACCACTTTAGCCAGCACGATGTCACCTGGGCGGAAACTCTTATATATTTCAACCTGCAAGGAGAGAAATTAAGAACTTATTAAGTGCTTATTTTATGTTGGACACAGTTCTAGGGCTACAAAGATAAAAACAACAACCCTTTTCCCTCAGAAGAGCTTATATTCTAGGGATGGGGACATGACACATGTATATATAAAATAAATACAAAGTAACTTTTCGCAGGAAGGCACCAGCAGCTGTGGATATCAGGAAAGGCTTCACATTGAATTTTAGCAGTAGTTCTGAAGTCAATGAAGGGCAATAACTGGTGGGGACAAGGTGGGAGGGCATTCTGAGCACTATGGTTAGCCAGTACAAAGGTACAGAGAGGCGCCAGAGTATTTGATGAATAGCAAGGCCACTTTGCCTGGACTGCAGTGTGTGGGAAAGGCAGAAATGTAGAACAAGGCTGGAAAGAGGCTGGCCAGGGTTTTACAAGCTACACAGAGACATTTATCCTAAGGGCAATAAGGAGCCAATGAAGTTTACCAAATAGGGGAATGACATGATCAGACTTGGCCTTGAGGAGAATCATTTGAACAGAGAGTAAGGGTGTCTGTGTTAAGGCAAGGAGTAAGAGGCTGTACAAGTAAGAAGAGATGCTGTAGGGGTATAAAAGGCAAAATCTGGCCATGTGGGGTGAAGGCAAGTAAGGTGACCAGGAGCATGCAGAGGCTGTGAAGCTGGCTGACTAATTAGCAGGAGGCTCTAGCATAGCACAGATCAATGGTGTTCAGTTCACTGAAATGAATGAATGCCATCTTTGTGCAGATTTTCATAGTTCCAGGGGACCACAAGTACTTATCTATTTGCTTTGCTTTGGAATTAACCATTTCATTTGAATTCAGTTCATTCTCTCCCAGAGGGTAGAAATCACATCTTAATCCCTTTTACTCTTAAAGGAACAAAGTATCTATTTGGAAATCTGCAGTCCCAGAGCCTAGGATTCTGACCTAGCTAAAAGCTCCCACATCTGGCTCAGAATTAGAACCCATAGTTAGATTTGCAGAAATGTCAGTAAGCTAGAAAGACATGCCCAAACTAGAAGACAAAGCAAACTGTTCCTCTCTGGTCAATAAACAACAATTTCACAGGGAGAAAAGGACTTGGGGGGCAATGTGGGAAGAGGGGAAATTATTACAGTAGCAGAAAGATGACAACTTTAGTATCACTGTGGGGCTCTTTCTTTGACTCACTCCTCAAAAATGGTCTTTGAAATTAATTACAATAATAGGAACTTTGAGATTCCCTATCTATAAGGTTTTTTTTTTATCATTACCTTGTCTTTTTCAGTAGCTCGAACATCTTCCTTCCTGCAAGGAAATTTTTTTAAACAGTTAATTCTTTAAGAGAATTTGCTTTCTAGGGCCAAGTCTGGGGAAGAGCCAGAGCAGCTAGGAGTTGGGACAAGTTATATTTGTTATTTAGCTGCCACCCAGAGGCACAAGATGGAAACTCATCCCAATATTACACCTTGGGCTAAGACTTCTATCGGGTCACAAGAGGCCTAACAGAAGAGTCAGCAATTGTTCCTAGGGCAGAGTCTGGGGAGAAAGAGTTTCAGGACAGCTAAGAAAGTACAAGAAAAATTAGCAACTCCTCCAGGAAAGAACTAGTAGAAAATGACTGCAGAGTTATACAGAATCCTAGGATGGAAGAGACTTCCAGAGATCAAAGAATAAATGACCTTGCCGCCAATGAAAAATGATTTCTGTCCCCCTTTCAATGGAAAACTAAGAAAAAACAATCCCACCCAATAACTTGTCCCATTTCTAATAATCATCAGGGTTGGCTTATACGGCTGCAATTACATGTAATCTTTTTTAATTTTTTCAAAAAAGTTTTAGTTTTCAACATTCACATTCATATGATTTTGAGTTCTCAGTTTCCTCCCCCTCCCCAAGACAGTGTGCAATCTAACACAGGCTATACATATACATTAATATTAAACATATTTTCACATTAGTAAAGAAGAATTAGAACCAATGGGAGAAACCAGGAGAAAGAAGAAATGACAACAAAAAAAGAGAGCAAATAGTATGCTTTGACCTGTATTCAGACTCCATGGTTCTTTTTCTGGATGTGGAATTACATGTAATCTTTTAAGGGAAATAATGCCTAACATCCTTAAAATCACTTCTGGTTGGGCATATATCATCCTGATGCTTGCCAAACCCATGCTTCAGTCAAATTTACTACCCTAGTCCAAACTTTCTCTGTGAGACAAAATGGAGATCACAGAGATATGGAAAAGAAACATGGTGGATGTAGATCTGTAATATTTTGTTTAAAATCCCAGACTATTTTGAAGTAAAATAAAGAAAATTTAAAGCTTCCTACCTGATAGTTCCTCTAAAGGAGTTCTTGAGTGGTGTGGATCCCACATATAAGATATGTACTTTGGCAAAGCGAGAATTAATGCTGGAGACCTGTGCCATAGAGAAGATAAGGGATGGATTAAAAATAGCAGCTGTCAGATAAAGAAATCCTAGTGGTATATGGCAGAGAATCCTAAACCAGGAACTAAGAGAAATAGGTTCTACTTTAGCTATCCTATTAACTAGGTAGGTTACTTGGTTACTTAATTTTTGCTTCATTTTTCTCAATAATTTGGGGAAGGCAATATCTACCCTATTTCAGAATACCAAATGAAATAATATGAAAGCATGTTAAGAGGTATAAAGGCATTATACAAGTGTAAGGCATCCCAGGAAGCTTGAATCTTTGGACAACTGATCTGTGGGCCTTTTGGGACCCTAAAGAATCAAGAAAATAGACTTAAAACTTTGAAATGCTGTATGCTGTTTTTTCATTTGTAAAATTAAGACTGTGATATTTGCACTATCTCACTGAGTTCTTAACATTTTATAAACTGCAGAATGTTATACAGGGTGTTCTGAAAGTCTAAGGTAAGTTTTAAATTATATTGAAGCTTAGACACAGGAACCTATTAAAGTTTAAAACTGCACTAAATCTTTTGGATTATCCTGTATAAATGTGAATTACTACCACTGCCGTTCAGTCTGGCTCAACATTACAACACATACACTCTTCTGCTATATTTAACATTACCATAGCCTTCAACCTCGAGGAGTTTTAGTGACACAAGATGAATTCATACTTCCTTTCCTTAAACGTGCCTAATGAGATCTGAAATTCACTAGAACCTCTGAATAGTAAGAGTTTTTGCTTTTGGTTTTTGTCTCTAAAGAATAAACCTCCAGCTTTTAAAGTTCAGAATGGGGAAGCCTTACTGAGTAGGAAAATGACAAGTTCTCTGTAAAACAGGAAGATCTTTTTGTACTTAAAAAGGCAACACGATGAAACAAACCTCAGAACCACCGGCTCGCCCGCTGATTACTGCCCTGACCACAACTACTAGTCAATGGGGAGGGATGGAAAGCCCTTGACCCGGGCACTTGGAAGCTAGGGAGGGTGGAGGGCGTGACCGTACCTTGCAGGTTACGATCGTTCCCACATCTGGCAGCATCTGGGACTCGGTCTCTCTCGTCACCGACACCACCGGAAGCTGCAGAAGGAACGAAGAACAGGTCCGTGAGCTCTACTCAGTACCAAGTCAAGGGGGCTGGGCTCGCGGGCCACAGGGAGGATTCAGGGGGCCTAAAGGCCACTGGGTCGGCCTGGTAACCGACCATTGGGCAGGCTTTGGGGATGCAAAGGCCTACGGGGCGCCCCGGCGTGGGCAGTCCGCTGCGCCCATTGCGAGGCCCCGAGAGGCCGGCGCGGGCCCGGGGGCGCGGCTGGCCTCACCTCGCCGTTGTCGCTCGTCTTCACCAGGCAGCCGGAGAGCGAGGAGAAGATGTAGCCGTGCCGGGTGTAGGTGCCGCTGCCGGGGCTGGCCTCCTCCAAGTTACACAGTCGTTCGCCTGCGGAGGACAAACGCGGTGTCCCTCCCCCCCCATCCGGCCCCTGGGCCCACAGGGCCACCTGGGACAGGCGGGCCCTCCGCGGCAGCTCGCCGAGTCCGACCTCCCTTCCCCGGCGCCTCACTCACCTGGGACGCAGTACCGCATCGGCGGCGCCATAGCCATGACCTCCCAAAAACCATTGCGGGAGGCCAATTGTCAATCCATTGGCCGAAACGAGAGCTGAGGGCCTGCGCAACAGAACTGCCAATTGGCTGTCGTACCACGTGGCTTCTCCGGGGCCACCTCAATGGCTTCCCTCTCCTCCTAGAACTTCAACTCCCAGGGTACCTCGGGAGGAGGAAGAGGGGGCGGGGCGCTGGGCTTCCCGCGCTTGCGCCGTATGGGAGGCCGGAGTGGTAGCGGTCCTGGCGCCGCTAACGGTGGGGGCGGGGGATGGTGGGTCTGGCTGATTGGGGCCGGGGTCGGCTTCGGCAGAGGCTGCGGTGAGCCGTGAAGGCTTCGGGGCTCCACTGGGTCGTTGTCCGTCAGGCAGGAGGTAAGAGGGCCTCCGGGATCTCAATCTCCTCCCCCACCTCTTTCCTTTCCCTCGGGATCTCGGGCCCCCAGCCACTGAAGGCGTGGAAATACGGGGCGCGAGAGGGGTCAGTGGGTGCGCCTCTGCGCTCCGGAACGTCCTGAGGTAGGGGCTTCGGCCTTGCCAGGACACCTCCAAGTCCTTGGGGGGAGAATGTGTGTAGTAAGGTGGAGGGGCTTCTTTATTCTCACCCCCCATCCACCCTCCTTCCGGGCTCTGATGGCGAGCGGCTGAATTGCACCTGCTTCCCTACCTGGCAGAGTGAGTTGGCTTTAGCTGCCCAGGGTTAGGACGTGAGCCCTCTGTCACCGAGCCTGGTTAAATGTTAACCTCGTTGCCTACCCCTGTGCTCTCGAACACCCCTGCCTACCCGCGGGCCCCCAAGAAAGTTTTGCTTTTGGTCAGGGGACTCTCTGTTGTGCTGCCCCCTCCCTATTTTAAGGGAGAGCCCTGCATCCTCAGACATTTTTATCCAATGAGTTATCCGTGGACCTGCAATCACGGTGAGATATTGAAGTAACATGGCATTTTCAGTTTGCCTTCCTAGGGTGGTGGCCCTAGAAGGAACAGATGGGTGGGCAACACGTCCCTCCTCGCTGCCCTTCCCGAAATGGAAACCTATCCAGCAAACGTGAACAGTGAAATTAGATGTAGGATGGCAAGTTTAAGCTCTGAGACAGGATTGTTCCGTGGGTAGAGATCAGAAACTGATTAAAGAGATGACTTCCTAGAGTTTACAGTCTGTGGAGAGGGCATCTGGTCATCCTAATATTAGAGGAATGGAGAGTTTTAGATAAGTGCGATTTAATTTAAATCTATTCCCGTAGGAAAGTCACCAGTGTTTTAAAAAAAGTTATTTTAAACAGTATAGTCCACTTTTTATTATCTGTACCAATTAAAAGTAGTTTATATGACCCAAAATGGGATAAAAAATTTTTGCTTAGTTTCAGGTTTTTTTGTTTGTTTTTACATTTGAATATGCCTGCCTGTTCTTCTGGAAATCATACTTTAAACCAAATGACAGTAGAGTCAGCTAGTTAGTCCATAAGTATTTTTTAAGCACTTATTATGTGCTGGGCACTATGCTGTGATGGGAATACAGGGCAAAAACACTGTTCTTGCCCTCAGGGATCTCCCATGCTAATGCTGGATCCGTGGTACCTATAAGATTTAAACAGAGTGGATAGAAGGAAATAATCAGAGAGAAGGCAGTAATAGGAGTAGGGGGACCAGGAAAGGCCTCCAACAGAAGATGGGATTTGAGTTGAGTCTTGAGGGAGCTTCAAAGTTTCTATATTTTCTATCCTATGATATTTTATCCCTGATTGCTCTGGTGTCAGGGAGTTGGGAGAGCTTCCTGATCCATGCTGCGATAGACAGCATCACTTCTGACTGCTTCAAGGTTCTGGCCAGAGCAGTGCTACTTACTGCGCTCGCTCTCGCTCTTGCTCTCTCTCTCTCTCTCTCATTCTCTCTCATTCTCTCTCACGCTTTTCCTTGGGCAGGTGTGCAGGAATAAAAGATGGAATATTTGTATTTAAAGGCTTTTCTTGGGTGGGAGGAAGGGATGCTGATCTAGTTACTGAACTGAAACTGTGTCTAGATGTGCATTGACCTCCTCCAGTTTCGTCTGGGTTTCAGACTTCATTCTAAATAAATAAGTTAACAGGAGTTGAGAGCAAAGCAGCACTATCCTGCCTCCAACACAACAAATGAGATAATCTGCTCTTCGATAATAGACAACCTTATTCACAAAATGAGTTAGGTATCCACAGAGGTCTCTAGATAAAAATATTTAGTTATCCTTCCCCCTTCCATTGCTATGCTATTCCACAGCCAGAGAGAAGGAACACATTTGAAGATATTAAAGAATTTGGAGTGCTGGGGAGATAAGCTAAGAAGCAGACCTATGAGGGGCAATCACTGTAGAGAAGGCATTTATTTCTCCTTGGGACAAAGGGGAGTGTGTGTGTGTGGGGGGGAGGTTAAGAGAATCATTAGGTTAACTTCAAACTAGTGCAGGAAAGGACGAAATTTCACAGGCCAGATCGTGTTCTCAAAAAGGATCTGAACCTGAGTAGTGGGACACAGGCAGCCTTTAAATAAATATGTGACATCCCCAGTTTTTTTTTTGTCACTTCTAGGTTGGAAGTGGGATCATCTTACTACCCATATCTTGGTGGTCCCTTAGTCTCTGAATAGGGAGATTAGAAAAGGTGTCAAGGTTTGTGTCACAGAAGAGGCAGGAGAAAGAACATAAGACCTGGACTTCCTGGCTGGGTGATCTTGGGTAGGTCTCTTCATCTCTCTGAATCTGTTTCCTCATCCGTAAAATGGGGACAATCACATTTATTCCACTGGTTACATCATAGGGATGTTTTGAGGATCAAAGGAGATGTATCTTTGTAACCATAAAGTACCATATGAGTCGTTCATAGTATCATATGATAGTTTGGGCTGACTGAGGAGATTGGAAACCAAAAAGCCTGGGAATTTCATGCTACCAGGCTGAGGTCTCTGAAGCTGAGAGCTGATAGCTTTCTCCACGGATATAGATGACATCAAAGATCTAGGAACAGGACCCACTCCAGAGTGGTTTCACATCCTCATGTGGCTAGTCCTAGCTACAAGGGTTGGTCGTCCACGAGTGGAAAGCATTAGAAGCGTGAGGTGAGTGGGGGAAGGCAAGCAAGGGGGAGAGCTCCATCACAGGCAGCTTTCTCAACACCTCCGCCATTGCTGAAGCCAGCAGGCTTTGTCGCATTCTCTCCTTGCAGTGGTAATGCACTTGAGTGGTTTGTTGTCGTTTCTGTTTGTTTAACGTCCCCCCTCTTGGTTCCTGTTCTACAGAGAAATCCAGAGTAAGATTTTGCTTGGTGCGGGTCAGTTCTTTTCTGTCCCTCTTGATGCAAAAGAGATGTCATTTAATGACCAGACTTCTCATGTTAGGAGTAAGCATTGTGTAATGGAAAAAATGCTGGATTTAGATCTGGATTCAAATCCTCATTTAGATGTGACTCTTGTCAAGCTACTCCACTTTCGAGCCTGTTCCTTTAATTGGAAAGTAGGCATAATACTTGTATTATCTTACATTTGGGAAGTTTACACAGTGCTTATGTGTTAAAAATGTGAGTTACAATTGTGTTTGTGTATTCAATTAAGTTTGATTCTTCAGACCTAAATGTAGGACCTCTATCCTGTGGTAATTGGGATAGGTAAGTCATTAGGGGCAGGCTGAGTGTGACCTAAAATGGTCTTTAATCGTCACTTTGTCTGGTGGAACCCAGAAGTTTGGGTGTTCACTGGCTATTTATCTTGCTGTAGGAGGTCATGCGAAGCCGCCGGTCCTTATTGCTGGGGCCGGCACGCCTATGCTTTCGTTTGCTTCTCCTCCTGGGCTACAGACGTCGATGCCCACCATTACTTCGGAACCTTGCACTTCGTTGGCGTTATGGAAAAGTCTGTCTGCGTTCTCTACTCTACAACTCCTTTGGGGGCAGTGACACTGCCATTGACTCTGCTTTTGAGCCTGTGTATTGGCTCGTTGACAATGTGATCCGCTGGTTTGGGGTGGTGAGTATTGCCAGGATTCTATAGCTTGGGGTTAGCTTAACAGATACTGTGACCTCTTGGGTGGAAGGATGGGGATAGATGGCTTTATTTGAAGACTCCACAAAAGACTTTACAAAACTAGGTTCTATTTTTTTTCCTCCTCTTGTACCTTAGTTGTGGGGTGCCATCTCTCCATACTTCACTAACAGCTAAGTGTTGACTTCCTACCGTTGGCAGGTCTTTGTGGCCCTGGTGATTGTGCTGACAAGCTCCATTGTGGCTATTGCCTACCTGTGTGTCTTGCCCTTGATCCTCCACACTTATTCAGTGCCCCGAATCTGCTGGCACTTCGTCTACAGTCACTGGAACCTCATCCTCATCGTCTTCCACTACTACCAGGCCATCACCACCCCTCCTGGATACCCACCCCAGGTAAGGCTCAGGGAAGGCACAGCAGAGCACCAGGGTAAAACGAATAGACCAGCAAACCTATATTCTAGCAAGTGGGCAGCAAGGTTTGGGAGCAGAACTCTTCAAGAATTCTTCGTTGCCACTGGTTTCAAAAAAGGTCCCTTTCAGATCTTAGACAACTCCGGAAGACTCACAATGGAAAATCCTGTCCATGGAAGCATATTATTTGCTCTCTTTTTCTTCTTCTTTTTTTGTTTTGTTTTGTTTCCTCCTTGTAATTCCTCTCATTAGTTCTATTCTTTACATCATGACTAATGTGAAAATGTTTAATATGAATGTATAAGTAGAACCTGTATCAGACTGCATGCCATCTTGGGGAGGGGAGAGAAAATTCAAAACTCAAAATCTTATGGAAGTTAATGTTGAAAACTAAAAATAAATAATTTTTTTAAAAAAGACCCCTTCAGTAACTAAAAAACTGAGGCCTTGACCAGTTCTCTTCCAATACAGGCCAAGACTGACCTTGCTACTGTATCTATCTGCAAGAAGTGCATTTATCCCAAGCCAGCGAGAACACACCACTGCAGCATCTGTAACAGGTTGGCCTTTCTCATTGTCTCTCCCATTTCCTTGCCTTTCTTTTGGCCTTGTTACTTGCCCCTTTACCTAGAGTCAGGTATAATCCCTAAAAACATCAACCCTTGCAGAAGCACAAGTTGGAGTAGCTTCTCAGCATCTTGCTCCATGGTAATGCAAAGTCCTGTTC